ACACACACACACACAAAGACCCCACCCATTCAAGCAACCAGATTACACATGTTTTTAAAATGGATGGATGAAGTAATTCTGGTGAGATTTCATTCGTGAATTATGAGTTTAACAATTTTTCGGTTAATGATTAGCTTTAATCCGATGAAAAAATTTGTTTTGCTAATGTGGGTTTGACAGCTACGGTGGTGGCGAAGGTGGCGATAATGGGCAACTAATTCTGTAATGGTTGGAAGAAGATGTTGAAATTTTGGGGCCCACTTCAAATAAATTCAAAAAAAAAACATAATTTGGTAGGCAATGTGCGTTTCAGAATTTGTGTCACACGCGAGATAGACTGACTAGGACGGGTATTTACTTGATACATTTGATAGCTACTTGAAATGTTAAAATGGTAAAATGGTCAGTTGAGGTGCTTATCTGACCGTTGAGGACAACTTAAAGGGGCGATTTATGTATTTCGCCTAAAAAAAACTATTTCTCTTTCATTCTCTTATCCTCCTTTTCCCACCTTCCAATATTGTTTTTGGGATGCTTTCATATAATTTTGCAACTTCTCATTTTTTGCTTTTTCTTTTCTCTCTTTATTTTTCTTAGCTGATAAACACAATCTCCTATTTTACTAGCTTTATCTTTTATTCATTAACATAAATAATTAATAAAAAATACCTTCTAAACTCAAATCTATCTTTTGTTATTTTAAAAAGACAAAAAATCATAATTTCATATTATATTCATATGAGTTGGTAAAAAGGTTAATTTCATCATTGAATTTAAATTAAGATATTAATTATTATGTCGAGTTACCTATTCTTCTTTACTATATTAGTTACCAACTTATAATTATTTAATAATTTTATTTTAAAAAAAGTAATTCAAATATATATAAAAAATTTCTCACAGGAAAAATTACTTTTTGTATTTACTTGTTTTATATCATTAGTATAAATATTTTTTATAAAAATACATTCTAAGCTAATGTCTAGTATTGTTATATTAACATGAGTTGGTAACTTATAGAGTATGGTGTGAGAAAGGAATTTGTTACTTGTGAGATCAAACCATATATCGAAAACTTGTAATTTATTCCATTGATAACTGGAAAACACACAGTTAGAATCGAAAGAGTTATTATGCATTGTTCGAACAAAAAAGACTTACTTTGCATTGACAAAAGTCACCTATATTTATTTAGGATAACAAAAGTAGTCCAAAAACACGTAAATGACCCTAACTTATAGTAGTACAATTTTTGAAGTGTATTCACGGGGATATGGATAACTATCTTTACAAATTTCAGGGGAATATTTGACTCTTTCCCCTTCGTAGAAACTCTTTATCCAAATTAATGTTGTGTTCTTGATTGACAGTGACCCACGTTTTAATTAATCCTAGTTAAATATTATGTTTCTGTAATTGTAGAGATTAGCTTAAATGGTTTGTCTGTTTTCTGGATATACTATATTTTGAAACATCCTTTACATCGGTTAAAGATTGAGTAATTAATTTGGATTGTCAAGAGTAGCAACATCTATATCATAAAAAGTTTGATATAGACAATTCTCTTTGAACTATCCTTCAACATAGCGCATACAATTTGACATACCTACTTTCTAGAGTTAGATTTCTCGTAAGATTACTGAACTAATGGAAATTGGAGTCACTTTACTTTATTTTATAATTGAAAGGTTATTCGATTTTAGTCTTTGTAACTAAAAAGTCACTCTATGCTTTTAATGGATATTTGACATTTTTCTTTTCAGTCCAAACATTTAACTCTGAAGGATTGCATATAGATGTTCGTAACACGCAGCGGAAGACAATAATAATCCTAGACAAATTTTTTCGTTTTTAAAATTTATTTACATGTCAAAGATCGAAGCTGAGACGTATCTGGTGAAGAGAGTCTCGTTTCAAAAATTCTTCGATAGGTGTGAAGACTCTATGCGTAACCATACCGAGACAAGATCCTTGATATCAACTCTTTGATCAATGAAACCCGTGAACAAATTAAACGAAAAATATTGTGCTGAAATTTTTCTCAAAAATCTCAACTCAAATTAGAAGAACAAGAAACACTTTTCTTGTAATTGTATTTTCTCTCTTGGCTTTGTATTGCACTCTCACTTTCACAAAGTATTTTTCTTCTCAAGAGTTAATAATGCGGCAAATTTTCTCCATCACCCTTTATATAGCATCACCTATAAACCCCTTTCCTATTTGGTTGAGATAATGATTTACTTAGGGTAAAAGTTTTTTTCCAAAAGTATATCTTATGGAATTTAACGTGGTCCGTCTGGTCCTATTTGAACGTTCCAATTCAATTCCAAATTGGATTGGATTATGAGATTTAATATATTCACAATTCCTACTGGAGAAGTACAGATCCCATTCTTAATGGAATTACTTGAAGTTGCCGAAGCAGTCCTTTTATAGACTTGATAAAACTTTTCCTAATGGAAAGCTAAATCACATTCCAAAATCCAAATGGGTATCATGGAAGTTATATATCCTTGGGGCATTTGCATCTATACCCGCTTTTTGTGTTACGTTTTAACTTGTGTCCGCTTTGCAAAAAAAATTGCAAGTGTACCCGCTTCTTCGCATAACTTCAGCATACGGGGCTGAAGTAGCAAAGGCAATCACGCAAAACTTCAGCATTCTAGTAGCCGGGCCTAAACTTCAGCTCTAGAGCTGAAGTTTTTGTTTATGTAACTGGCGAACTTCAGCTATAGAGCTGAAATTTTTGTTTTTATAACTGATGAACTTCAGCTCTAGAGCTGAAGTTTTTGTTTTGTAACTGGCGAACTTCAGCTCTAGAGCTGAAGTTTAGAGCTGAAGTTTTTATTTTTTTAACTGGTGAACTCCTAGAGCTGAAGTTTTTGTTTTGTAACTGGCGAACTTCAGAGTTTTTGTTTTTTAACTGGCGAACTTCAGCTCTAGAGCTGAAATTTTTATTTTTTTAACTGGTGAACTTCAGCTCTAGAGCTGAAGTTTTTGTTTTGTAACTGGCGAACTTCAGCTCTAGAGCTGAGGTTTTTGTTTTTTTAACTGGTGAACTTCAGCTCTAGAGCTGAATTTTTTACTTTTTAATTGGTGAACTTCAGCTCTAGAGCTGAAGTTTTAAGCTTTGCTCTTCCTATATATGATATCAAAAGATCAATTGGACATATTTTAAGAGAAATGTCGTCCTGGTTGCAAACAGTTTCAGAAAAAAAGGCCGAAAACTTGAACCTCTTTAGTCTCAGCAAATTTACAGCCAATGAAATATGACCTCTTTCTGTTTGTTGCTACTCATGGACTTCAGTACAGAAAGGAAATTCAGTTACATTTGAATCTTTGTTCAAACTTTCAAGGAAGACATTTAACTACATCTGTTCACTTGTGAAAGAAGAGATGATGGCAAAACCAACGAACTTAACTGATCTCAGCGGCATATTTCTGGTACTTTTGTACAGAGATGTATTAGTGGTTTTAACTATAGTCAAATTTATACATAGCCGTAACAGATTTCTTGCAGAAAAGGGAGAAGGAGAAGTTTGAGAAAGAAGAGGCAGATATAACTTTGAGGAGGAGAAGGAGGAGGATAAAGCGGGCTGAAGTTATTTAAAAAGTGGGTACAAGTTAAAAGTTTTTTTAAAAAATGGGTATAGGTTAAATGAGGGCGACCAAATAGGGCGCCCCGTGCAATTTCTACTACATCCTTTATGAACAGTGCACGTGAATCCAATTGCAAGTGGAATTTCAATATATATATATATATATATATATATATATATATTAATTTTCTATTCCAAATAGAAAACTTTAA